TATCTTTTCTTACCTTTTCACTAGCTGCAATGGTGTCTTCAAGATATGAAACTCTATCTTCACTTTCACTCAAATGAATTTTTTTTTTTACTCAACAGTTTTGCAACCTTTTGATTGAGATTTTAAGTTCCTCTGTCTCTTTGACTCTGCTTCATGTGATCTATTTCTTCCCTATATTGCTCATTGAAGAATTCCATCATTTTTCTAATCTATTTTTTATCAGTGTCTTCTTGAGAAGCAGTTATTAATTCTTTCATTATAGTTATCCTTTCTTTTTTTATATCAGAGACTATTTCTGATCAGATTTTCTCTATACCTTTCTGCAGCTGATGCTTTACTTCAGACACTATCAATTCAGATATTTTTTTTTTTGTTGTTGTTGTTTTTTGGTGGAACCCAGGATCGAACTCAGGCCCTTGCACTTGCCAGGGAAGTGCTTATTCCACTGAGCCATCTCCCCGGCCTGTCAGAGATTTCTTTTTTTTTATTTCAGAGGTTATTCCTGATCTGAGTTCCTGTATACCTTTCTGCAGTTGTTTCTTTACTTCAAATGCTATTAATTCAGACATTTCAGCTGTGTGATTCCCAGTTTCTTCTGTGCAAGTGTCTTCTGCATTTGTTCTGGGTAGGCTCAGGGCTTGAGATTGCATTTTGCACCTTGTCTTTGTCATTTTTTATAGCACTGTCCTCTGACCTTTGGTGTAGAGCTTTGGTTAAGTTATAACCTTAGCACCTACTGAAATTTGGATGCAAATCTACGAAGTTTGAATTCATCCACTTGTGCCTGGCTTGGGTCTGGCTGCTGTGCTCAGCTTCTTCCTGCTGTAGCCCATGGAAGTGAACCTGTTGTGCCCCTTTGGCAAGATGTTCTGCTCCTGGATTAGCTGGGTGGTTCTGGCCCCTAGCCTGTCTTCAAGGACTGCAGAGTTTCACCTCAGGCCTGTATGCCAGGCCTGGGCTGTGTCTGGAGGGGTCCAGAGATCAGGACAGAAGGACTCACTGACAAGTGGGCCTGGGCTGGGTCCGGAGGGATCCAGCAGGCAAAAGGGAGCGTACTGCAGGGCCTGGGCTTGGGCTGAGTCTGGAGGGGTCCTGAGAGTGCGGAGGAAGTTCTCACTCACATGCCAGTCCTGGGCTTGGTCCAGTGTGGTCCAGCGGGCGCAGGGGAGTGTGGACGCTTTCCTACACACTCACCAGGCCTGGGCTTGGGCTGGGTTTGGAGGAGTCCAGGAGGCACAGGGGAGCAAAGAAGTTCTCTCACACATTTTTTTTTTGGTTTTTTGAGACAGGACTTCACTATGCAGTTCAAGCTGATCTTGAATATTCACTGATCCACCTGCCTCCGCCTCCTGAGTGCAAGGATTATAGGCATGCACCACCATGCCTTACTATAGAAATATTTTGATATAAATTAAAATATGAAGCTTATTGAACAATTATTCTATCATGCGTGGCCTCTAGTTTTGTGTCATACTTGCAAAGATTTTCGTGTGTGTGTGTGTGTGTGTGTGTGTGTGTGTGTGTGTCTCGGGGGTAGGTAGTCCTGGAAATTGAACTCAGCGCCTGATGCGTGCCACAGAAGTGCTCTTCAACTCTTGGACAGACTTCCTGTAATCCAAGACTATAGATGAATTCTCTTATATTTTTGTCTTGTACTTTTTTCATGATATTTTTATTCTATGTAGAATTTATTTTTGTATACAATTTCAGCTTTTTTTCTCTCAGATGGTTACGATTTGTCTCAGTAAAACATGCCTATACTCAACTTGGCAGCATACATACTGAAATTGGAATGAAATGGAGAAGATTAACACAGCCCATGTGCAAGGATGACAGGCAAATCTGTGAGGTACTCCATATTTTTGTCACTTAGCCTTTGGTTGGGATGAATTTCCAAACATCATGTGGGAGCTGTTTGAATTTTTATGCAATACTGTAACATTTTCAATAAATCTAGGGCAACAGCAAAAGAAAAAAATACTAAGCATGTTAAATTTTTTCAGTTATAAATGACAGTATTCAACAACAACAAAAAGCTTAAGTAATCAGTACATTTATGAAGTGAGTTAATAAGAAATTTGGGATATGATCATTCCAGAATTGATTAATTCAGTGGCTCAACAATGGCTTCAAGGACCCAGGATTTTCTACCTGATAAGTTTTTGTTTTTGTTTTTTCTTTGTATTGGGAGTTGAACTCATGACCTTGTGCTTGCCAGGAAGGCACTGTGCCACTGAACTATATTCCTGGCCCCTCAGTGTTTTTAATTGATTTTTTTTTTTTTTTGCTTAGTAAAAATTGAAGATGGTGTGTCTCTTATATCTTACTTTTAAAAGTGTAATGTACAGTCATTTAAAAAATTAAATAATGATTCTTTATACCACCAAACTTAAATGGTCAGATTTGCAGAATATTTCTATACTGCAAATTATTAAAATTAGGGTTCATGTCTTTCACAAAGTTCTGGTACCGTGTCCAGTATAGCAAGCATGACTGTGTAATTCTTTTTTTTTTTT